CGCCCCCGCCGCGCCCGCGCCCAGGCCAAGGAAGCTGCCGGCCGCCCCGCCTCCGTTCCCCGGGCGGGAGAAACCATCTCCTTAGGCGGGGGAAGGAGCGGGGCGGGTGTCCTCCCGCACCGGAAGAGGAAGTGGGAGGTGCCGGAAGTAGCGGGCATTCTGGGTAATGAGCTGTTTACTTCCTGCGGGCGAAGAGAGCGGGGTAGGATCACTCGCTGTTGTTCTTCCAATCGGAGAGGATGGCCTTGGAGACGGTTCCGAAGGACCTGCGGCATCTGCGGGCTTGTTTGCTGTGTTCCTTGGTCAAGGTGTCCGTCGGGGACCCTGTAGGGGCGATGGGGGACAAAGGTGGGGGAAGGAGGGTGGAATGGGGTTGGGGACACTGAAAAGTAAGGCCCAGGACTCTGGGAGGTGGCGGGGGGAGTGGGAAGCCGTCGTAAGAACGCGGCAGGTCTTGGAGCTGAGGGTTCGGACGGTCATACAGGCCTCGAGTCCTCAGCTCTTAGCACAGGCCTGGCCCTTTAACAGACGTTCGGTGAGCTTGTGTTGCAGCCGAAGGACACTGGGAGGCAGAGGAGGGTGGGGATCTGCAGCTGAGAGACTAGCTGGAGAGGGTGCCTCACGCTGGGGAGACTAGAGAAAGAAGTAGATTAAACGGAATTGGGAAGAAGAGAGGAAGGAGTGTGAGGGCGGAGCTTAGGAATGGAGCTTTGGGACTAGTAAGTAGGGCACCAGATGAGACAGAGCCAACATAGGGAACCAAGAGATTGACCAGGTCGAAATATTGAGAAAACTACCTTTTCTTTTAGCTTTGTTCATGCTTATCTCTCTTTTTCCTTTTTTCCTCCTCCCAGACTATAGACCAGTTTGAATATGACGGTTGTGACAATTGCGATGCATATTTACTGATGAAGGGTAACCGAGAGATGGTATATGATTGCACCAGCTCTTCCTTTGATGGGTGAGCCCTTTCAGATTCCTGCATTCCCCTCTGCATCACCCCACCCCAAAAAGTACATGTGAGGCAGGCGTTTAAAACCATAGTTCTAGTTGGTCTTTGATGGGTGAGCCCTTTCAGATTCCTGCATTCCCCTCTGCATCACCCCACCCCAAAAAGTAAATGTGAGGCAGGCGTTTAAAACCATAGTTCTAGTTGGTCTCAGCAGTTATTTTGAGACATACTAGTCCTATATATTTAGTACAGTAGCCACTAGCCACAAGTAGCTATTGAGCAGTTGAAATGTGGCTAGTCCAAATTAGGATATGCTTTAAATGTAAAATATACACCAGATTTCAAAGACTTAGCATGAGGAAAATAATGTGAAATATTGTAACTTTTTTGTATTAATTACATGTTGAAATGATAATGTCTTGGATTTACTGAGTTAAGTGAAATATTTAAATTAAATTTTATCTTTTCATCTTTATTCTTTTAAACCTGCCTGATTGAAAATTTTAAATGATGTACTGTTATTGAACAGTGCTTCACTAGACTGTCAGTTCATTGATGGTAAGGACTGTGTTTATCTTGTACAGCACTACCTGGCACAGTGCCTGGAAGGTGGTAGATGCTTAATAAATGTTTGTCAAATCAACAAAAATTCTTTTTGAAAATGAAGGGAAGGGAACGGAAGATACAGTAATGGTAGATTATTGCCCCAAAGCTGATGCTTTTAGGTATCTCTAAGAGGCCCTATAAGAAAAGTTTTCTTTTGGCAAGGTTGTTTAGTGGGGAGAAGGGGAAGCCAGAAAACATAAGTGGCCAGATCTCACTTCTCCTTCCACATGGTAGGAGCCAGAGGGCAGTATTATTTGTGGGTTAAGCTTTATGCACAAACTGGGCTCAACCCTCAGTACTTGCTAAAGTGGTGCCAACTCCATTCCATCTTTGATTTCCTTTAGGGGAAAATAAAAGAATGGACAAAAAAGATGTTGGCATGGAACCTTTGCTTCCTACTTATGCATGTGCACACTCAGATACTCTGTTCCCTTTGTTCATTTGTCAGTACTATACCATTCAGTACTAACGAATGAAGGGACTCCCATCTATGGCTAAAGTATTAAGTTAGCTGCTGTGAGAGATATGAAGAGTTACAAAATGAGACATTTACTAGTAAGAGAGACAGTGTGAAGTTTCGCATATTGGGGGTGGGTGTTATTGTGGTAAAATATACATAGCAAAAAGTTTGCCATTTTAACCATTTTTTTAAGTGTATAATTCAGTGGCATTAGTGTATTCACATTGTTGTGCAACGATTACTACCATCAATCTCCAGAACTTTTTTCATCTTGCAAAACTGAAACTCTGTACCCATTAAATGCTAACTCCCCTACCCCCTTCCCCCCAGTCCCTGGCAATCACCCCTCTTTCTGTCTTTATGAATCTGACTACCCTAGGTACCACATAAAACTGGAATCACAAAATATTTGTCCTTTTGTGTCTGGCTTATTCCACTTAGCTTGTCTTCAGGGTTGTAGCATGTGCCAGAATTTCTTTCCTTTATTAAGCTGAATAATATTCCATTGTATGTGTATGTACTACATTTTGTTTATCCATTCATCTTTCAATGGTCACTTGGCTTCCACCTCTTAGCTATTGTGACTATGAACATGAGTGTACAAATATCCGTTCAAGCCCCTGCTTTCAGTTTTTTGGGGTATATATCTGGAGATGGAATTGCTAGCTAATTCAGTGTTTAATTTTTTGAGGAATTGCCATACTGTTTTTTCTTTTTTGGCAGCTGGCTGGTATGGGGATCCAAACCCATGACCTTGGTGTTATAAGGTTGCGCTCTAACCAGCTGAGCTAACCGGCCAGCCCATTCTGTTTTCCATGGTGGCTGCATCATGTTATATTCCCACCAGTAGTGCCCAAGGGTTCCAATTTCTCCCCATCCTTGCCAACACTTATTTTCTGGGTTTTTTTTTTTTTTTTCCCAGTTTTTATTTTAAATAGTTATCTTAATGGATGTGAATTGGTATCTCGTTGTGGTTTTGATTTGCATTTCCCTAAGGACCAGTGATGTTGAGCATCTTTTTTATGTGCTTATTGGCCATTTGTATATCTTGAAGAAATATCTATTCAAAGTCCTTTGCCCAGTTTTGAATTTGGTTTGTTTGTTTTTGTTGTTGTGTCATAGGATTCGTTTATATATTATAGTGAATATTTTGTTTTAAAGAGTGGGGGGCTAAAGGAGATCAGAGGAGGGCTAGATAACCTCAGGCAGAAGTGGAGGAGGTGGCATTCTTTCCTCTTAAGGAAAGAAGTACGGGATTTTTGAGGAAGTTGAAGTGAGAGAGAAGTAGAAAGAATATCCCAAATAAAGAGAGTGACTGGAGCAAAGGCAGGTGGTGGGAAAAACCAGGATATGTTTGGAGCAGCGGGAATTCTGTTTTGGTTAAACCATAAGGTTGGGTAACAGGTACTATACAGCTAGAAAGACAGATTGTGAAGGACAGAGAAGAATATGCTTGTAGCCAGGAGGATGGCCTACATATGTGTCTATCTTAGATCAGTCTGCAAGGCCAGGGACTAGTGTTTTCCTACTTGTCACCCTTGGAAGTGGGATCAGTTCCACTCATAGCACATGGCTGGAAATGTAGGATTTGTTTGGGAAGGGAGTCTCCACAAGTAAGAATCCAAGATTTTTGCCAAGAGAAGAGGGAATGGATATTGAGGAAGCAGTCAGCAAATGCCAGTGCCTAGTAGAGACCTGACACGATAGGCAATCAGTAAGCATTTGATTTTCATGAATGACAAAAATGACCTCTGTAGCTTCTGAAAACACCCGATGCTTATTGTTTTTGCTCAAGTAGTGGGCTTCTAGTCCTTGAATGGCCTATCTGTTACCAGCGCTCTGGAATCAGAGCTGCCTGGGAAGGACTGTTAGGATAACAAGGAGAGTTAATGCTTATTTAGTACCTTTTCTGTGCTAGTCTGAACTAGGTGTTTTTCATGTATTTTCTCAATCTTTGAGTCCCATCTTACGAAATTCTTTTTTTTTGATGGCCTATACAATGTGACCTTGGTGTTATAGGGCTGTGCTCTAACCAACTGAGCTATCTGGCCAGCCCTTACTGATGAAATTCTGAGAGAGGTCTCCGTGTGTATTTCAGGCTGCACAGCTGATTAGAGAAAGAACTTGGCCAAATCTAAGTCATTTCTGGTAGGAGGATCCGTTGTTTTGATTCACTCTCCACTTTGCACTAAGCCCTGCTCCTCAGTGGTTGTGTTGGTTGTAGTCAGTGTAGTACTGGCCATCCACTGCTAAAGCTGTCCTGTTTCCTAGGGAATCGGTAGGCTGAAGATGTTTTTGAGCCTGATGAGATAATCTTGGGGATGATGACTGACCTGTGACTGGCAGGCCAGGGACATAAGAATGAAGGACCTTTGTCAGTACCAGCTTTGAGTTAGCCCCTTCCCAACATTAGAACTCAGTTTTCCCTGCTTTCCGGTGGAGACTCAATATTTGCTTTTTCCTGTGTTTCCTCTCCCAGAACTGTTGCGCTAGCTGAGCAGTTCTCTTGGTCTCCCTCCTCTTTAGCAGGGAGGCTCAGGCTGACTCCATTTCTTTTCCCTCCCTAGAATCATTGCAATGATGAGTCCAGAGGACAGCTGGGTCTCTAAGTGGCAGCGAGTCAGTAAGTGTCTCTCTTTCTCCTTATCCTGGCCTAGTTATGGTGGCATTATTATATCAGGTCCAGTGGGGGAGTCTTAACAGCAGGGTGAGTGACTACAGGGTGGGAAAAGATGGGGTAGTCATGTGCCCTGTCATTTAACACTTGTAGACAAAAGAAGTGATAGCTCTTCTCTTGGAGGAGTTGCAGCACTTGTTTTGTTTTTTAGCTTAAGCCTCCATTTGGTCGTTAGTCTTAACTCCCTCCCACTGCAATCTTCTGTCTTCTCTCTCAGGTAACTTTAAGCCAGGTGTGTATGCGGTGTCAGTCACTGGTCGCCTGCCCCAAGGTAACAATAATCTTAATAACAGCCAATGTTCATATACTGTACCAAGCTCTGCAGAAATCCTTTATGTGAATTTATGCCAATCCTTCCAGTGCTATTAAGTGCTGCACTTTACAGATGAGGAAACCAAGGCACAGAAAGGTGAAATAACTTGCCTGAGGTCACCACCTAGTAAGTGAGGTAACTAGAATATGAACTCAGGCATTCTCATTCTAGAGCTTTTGCTTACACGTGTCCCTCTTTTTCTTCTTACTCTTACAATGTCATTGTTTGCCAAGCAGTTGCCTGGAAATTTAGTGGTAACAAGCCAACCAAGCAAGACTATTAATGAGCAGTCTAGAAACTCCAGTTTACTTATAACCATCCCCCACTCCAACCCCCCAAAGGGGCAGCTGAGAGGCCTTTTTTTGTTTGTTTTTAGAGGTTCTTACCCTTCTGAATCTTCCCTCACAGAGCTGTTTCTTTTCCTGCCACAGGAATCGTGCGGGAGCTGAAAAGTCGAGGAGTGGCCTACAAATCCAGAGACACAGCTATAAAGACCTAGCAAGATAAGATGCAGGGCTGCCAGCATCTTTGCTGTCCACTGCCCGCCTGTGCTTAGTTTTGTTGTGGAACTAAATGGACAGAACATCAAATACTCTCCACCACCAACTCCAAGACTCAACAATAGTAGCACATCATGTTCCTGGGCCATTTTACCATCTTTGGACTACTGGTGGGGGGTGAGAGGGGTTTGGGTTGGTGGATTAACAGACTGAATTGAGGGAAGAGTAGGATGCTGGTTTTCCTTCTCACAGCCCAGGGCTGTGCCCTTGCCCACGGGCAGGACTCTGGGTCAAATGCCAATAAACATGAACCCCTAGAAAGTTCTTAAGGCCATGATGCATGCCTTGCTTCCCTCTCCCTTTCTCTTAGCTAAGCACAGTAAGAGCTTACTTGCCCTGTAAGCACCTTTCCAGAGCAGCAGAGGCCCTTCTGCTCCCTCTATCCTGTCTCTGAGCCTTCAGGGTTGCAGCCTTTCTAGGGTGCTTCCTCGGGTCTCATTAGAAGGTGTGCTGTCCTGAGGCTAGGTAGCCCCAGCAGTCTGGTAGTCCCGGTGTCTAGTGGTTGTATCCTGCCTTGTGGACCTGGCACAGCAGTGTCCCTTGAAGAAATACTGAGGCCCGTTACACAAATATTTTGTCCCTTGACCATGTTTAAGACTTCTTTTATTCCTTTGTGTGGTTTCTTTTTACTGCTCTTCCTATATTTAGGCCAGTCCACATTTCACATTCCCCTAACTGGAGGCCCTCAGGCCTTAGGTAGTCTTAGTCTCACTTGTTCATGCCTCTATAGGAGGTAGGCCCTTCCTTTTCTCCTCTGGCCTACCAGGGGCCTTAGGTAATGTCACATTATTGGCCAAGGTGAGTTATTTGTTTTAAAATAAAAAATTAACCATAAGTTCTTATTTACTTAGATTTCCACAGAAATTCTATTAATATCCCCATTTTGATTTCCCTAAGTTTCTTCTCCATGTGTAAAACAGGAATGAAAAAAAAACAGGAAAAAAAAAACCCTGCCTATTTACCTCAGGACTGTGAATGTAGAAATGAAGCAATGTGAAAATTCTGTAATGTAAGTCTTATATAAGGCAAAATGCAGTTGCTGTCCTTTTGTTAGCCATTTTTCTATGCCAAAATAGCACGGGGAAATGCCCAGACCCACAACTGCAGATTGAGCTCTGACTCATTAGCAGAGGTGCCTGCTCTAGGGTTTTGTGTCTCTTAGCCACCTGGTGTTGCTAGTGAGTCATTTTCTCTTGTTACCTGTGTGTGAGAAGAGATGCTGATTCTCGAGTCTGACTCCTCTCCCCACCCCTTATCACACCCCCTTCCTTGTCCTCTTGTAGGCCTGGGACCAGCCAGGCTGCAAAATTTCCTCAGCCCAGCAAACTGAAAGCCCCATGGGTAGTGGTTTCTGTTTAATTTCAGTCCGAAAGCAGCCTCTGTAAGCAAGCCCACCAGGCTAGAGCTTACATCTTGGAGAGAAGTGGGTTTCAGCAAGAGTGCCTAGTCTGTGCAGCCAACACCCAGCTTTCACTGGCTTTCTCAAAAAGCCCCTTGGAAAGCCCCAGCTGCTGTCCTGTGTGTCTGACCCGGACGTGGCTGCTTGGTGAGAATGGAAACAGTTGTGGGGAGGGGAGGCAAGAGGAGCTGTGCACAAATAACCACACTCAGGCTGCCTTGGCCCCACACTAAGCTGGGCCCTAACTGTCAGTCTCACAGGAAGTGAAAGACAGGCACCGATGGTCTTGGGGGAGGGGTGACCTATTGCAGTGCCTGGATTCCACAGATTCAGTGTGCCAAGTGGGCTCTGCCTGGGAGCTGCTTCCGAATGGGCTTCTTTGCCTTCTCTGGCACTTGAACCTGCGTGTGGTACCACTCAGCAGCCCAGACAGGCACTAAGGAGCTGGAGTCCCATCCCCTACTGGGAGCCTAAAGGAACTAAGACAGGGACTTAGGCACTGTGTGGAAGAGGGGTTCTCAGGCACTGGTACTGCTGTCTTGCATTCCACAGCCATGAAGGCTGTCCTACCCACTGTGTCCATCAAAGTTTTCATCATTCTGACTGCTGAGGTTTTGAGTCTGCCCAGGGTCTTAAGGTCTTCCCTTGGTGTCTTCGTCAGTAGTATGGCTTTCTCTTTCAGAAGGGCAAGGCTCCTCCCTAGTTCAACAAGGACAGAAATCAGACAGAGACTAGGAATAGAGTAGTGGCCAGGCTGCCTTCCACTTGCCTGCCTATTCCTCAATTCCTCATTCTTGCCCTACCCACCATGTGCTGTGGGGTTAGGGTCTTCCAGAAACTGAGGGGCTAAGTGGCAGCGCACTGATGAATGCAGCGTCTAGCCCACACAGGGGCTGGTAGCTGATAGAGTAAAGGTCAAGATATTCTGGTCTTAACAGGGGAGCAGTTTCCCAGGAAATGATGGTGATAGGCTCAGGGTGGGCTTACCAGGTTTAGGGACTGAGGACTTGCTCTTGGCGTGGCCACTACCCTAACCCAGCCTGTCTACAGCTTGCTTCTCAGGCCCCTCCCTGACACCTGATGTTTCTGTGTGTATAAAAGAGGCAGGTAGGTAGTGTTTAAGAACAGTTTAATAATATCTTACTTTGTCTGAAAGTCTGGTTCAGGTTCAGTATCAGTAAAGCCTTTTGTATAAATAGCATTTTACAGTTGACAAAGGGTTTTCATTTGCATTATCTCATTTGATCCTCACAAAACCCCTGGGACACAGTTAACATCTTTATTTAGTGAGAAAGAGACTTTGGCTCGGAGAGTTAAAAAGTGACTTGGCCATGATCAGGGAGTGGAGTCTTAGCTCAAGAAATACAATGCCCAAACCCAGTTTATGGCTGCTAACTTTCTGACAGTTATTCCCAAACACGGCAGCTTTGCACCTTTTGTGAGTGATCCACTAACCAGTGTGAGGCATTAGCTTTCTGTTGAATGAAGTTACAACACATTGTTCCTACACAGTGTACCATCAACCACCCTATTCCCACCAGCTCTAGTCCCCAAGTCTAAAACTAACCAAAGAGCAGGAGGCAGTGGGGGCAATGGCCCAGGGAGGAGATCCTTGGGATTTGCAGAGCACTAGGAAACTGGTCCAGCCCTCCAGTTTCCCCTGGATGCATCTTTTGTTCTATCCAGCAGGTCTTAGGTACCTGGTGACCTGTGCCCCACACCTCCCAGCCTCTGTTCTGCTTTTTCGTTTTCCCCACCTCCCTCCGTCTGCATTCTGATTTGGCACCATCACAGCCCCCTGGAATGCTGAGACTTGTGTGTGATGAAGACACATGTATCCAACTAAGGGCAAGTCCCTGCCTCCCAGCCCTGCTGTCTTCACCAGCCACTAGCCCTGTGACTTTTCTAAGTCACCTAACCTCTAACACGAAGTTTCTCCTCTATGAAATGCAGTTGACAAAACTATGGTGTTTGGTGGCAGGATAGTGGCTACCTGTGAAGGTGGGAGTGGCAGAAGGCATGTGGGGCACCTAAGGTGCTGGTTATAGTCTGCTTGATCTGGATGCTAGTTATGTGGGTCAGTTCACATTCTGAGAATTTGTTGTTAGGATTCTGGTGTTTGGTGGCAGGATAGTGGCTACCTGTGAAGGTGGGAGTGGCAGAAGGCATGTGGGGTACCTAAGGTGCTGGTTATAGTCTGCTTGATCTGGATGCTAGTTATGTGGGTCAGTTCACATTCTGAGAATTTGTTGTTAGGATTCGTTCACTTTCTGTTTGAATGTTATACTTTTTCTTGGAGGCTGGTGCGGGGATCTGAACACATGACCTTGGTGTTATAAGGCTGCCCTCCAACCAACTGAGCTAACCAGCCAGCCCTGTATGTTAAACTTTAAATAAAAAGTTTGCTTAAAGGTACAGTTGACAGTCTGTGTTTTAGGGTCTAATTAATACATTAATTTAGGTAAAGCAATTTGAGAGCTACACTACTAAGTGTATGTAAAGGGATGTCATATAAAGTTGTCCACCTCTAAATAAGTTCCAGTTAGGTGTGGCAAGAATTTCATCCCTCCAGCAGTTGGGCAGTAGGTGTTCCAACATCTCTGTCGTACAAAGGTATGTCAAAATTGAAACATTTTGCTTCAAGCACCAAGGCCTTTTATCTTAATCTTTCTGTTCTCATTTTTTGTGGGATAAATTTCTTTAATGTATTATATACTTTCTTCCTATTTGGATACAAGATTCTGAGTGCAATTTAACTTCTAGTTGACTCAAAGTCATTGTTATCAACCTCCATTTTTATTTTTATTTTTTATTTATTTTTTAATTATCAATGCCCTTTACAGACACGAGGGGCCAGAACTGAGAACCACATGATGTCCTTGCAAAGGGATCTTTCACTGCAACTGGAGGCAAGAATATGAATAAGAAGTAGCCATTGGGCTGGTGTTTCTAGAATAATAATCTGTTCCATCAGTATGGCAATTACCAGGTTCAAAACTGGCCACCTCCACTATTGCATTTGATTCTCAGTGCCATCCTGTGAGGATTATTATTCTCCTTTCACAGATGAGAAAACGGAGTTTCTGTCACATCACTTGCCCAAGGTCAGTGGCAGGTGAGGCTACACAGGTGTTTCAGCCCAGACCTTTCCTCCCGCACAACACTGCCCTACTTATTGCCTCCCTTCAGTTCTGCAATGGCAGATGGGGATGGGGGTCCATAACTGCCCATGGCAGATGGGGATGAGGGTCCATAACTGCCCATGGCAGATGGGGCAGGGGCGTGGGCGTCCTCCTTGTTTTCCCTCCTTATTTTGCCTCCTTGAGCCCCAGCCTGGAGGTGGTGCCCCTGGAGGTGTGGGTCCACTGACAGCACCAAGGCCTCTTGGAGGGTGAGGGCCTCAATGCTTCCCATGCTCACCCACTCTAGGACCCCTCTAGGAGGACCTGGGTCCCCTGCCCTGTGCCTTGCGCCCATTTTGCCCCGGGCTCTCACCTCCTCCCTCCCTGCAGCCACAGCCCCATGACGTGGCCGCCTGTTCCCCATTGGCCCTCCTGAGAGCATTTGCCCTTATTTGGCCAGGCTGGCTCCAGGCCGAGCCTCCACCCCCAGCCCAGCCCCCGCAGGCCTGTCTCTCTCACTTCGTCTTTTTGAGGTTTGGCTCTGAGGCCCAGGCGGGCGTCGCTTCAAACGCACTTTCTGGTTGAGTCACTTTTTAACGGCTCCAGTGCTGTGAGCTGCTGCTGCTGCTGCTGCTGCTGCTGCTGCTGGGCCCCCCAGGCTTACTGGTCAACCCTCCCCCATCTGACTGCTTAATAGTCTCTGAAGGAAGGGACTGAGGTGGCCATCGCTGTTGGATTCTGCAGACCACTGGGTTACCCATTAGACCTCCCTGCTCCCCCACCCACAGGCCTGGGGGCAGAGAAGTCTGCCCTGGGCCCTTCCCTCTGCTTTCTCTAACTCCCTTCTCTAACTGCGTTTGTGAGGAGAGACAGGGCCTCACAAAAGACCTGTTCCTTTTGGGGCAGCTTTGAATTGAGCTCCCTTGGGGGAACAGAAACGGGCTGCAGATTGTTGGCCGATTTTCAGGAAGGTGAAACACACTTGCTGAGTTTCCGGTTCCTCACCTCTGAGATGGGGATACCATCATTTCCCTCACGGTCAACGTGATGATCAAATGAGGTTT